CCGCTTCTTCTCTCCTGTGTCACACTCCTGTGTCCTGGCCGTGTAGGGACTTTGAATGAAAGAACTGGGAGATATCTGAAAGCTTGAGGCCAGCTCTCCCATTTCACCGAAGGGCAAACTCAGGCCCAGGAGAAGGAAAGAATTGCCCAAGTTCAAATAGGAGACAGAGCCCCATTATCATAGAAGAACTGGTGCGTGGGGAGGTGCATGCCCATGAGACTTTGGATAGCACTCCACCACCGAGCAGGGTGGGAGTGCGCGGGAAGGGATCTGGGATTTTTGAGCCCAGGTCGCTTCGCTGGGTCTTTCCTGGTCTCTGTGGCTGGGAGCCACGGTTCTTAGTTCCTGCGGCCCTGAGCCTCCCAAGCATTTTATGAGAAGGGCAGCATTTGGGTTAGGGCAGTGCTTGAGGGTCCCCTCTCCATCCCCAGTCCTCTGTCAGCTGAGCAGCAACCCTCAACCCCTGTCTCTGTAGGCAGCTGCATCATTGTGGAGTGGTGAGGCTGAGGCCAGTGTCAGACTCTCCCAACCCCAGAGCAGGGGCCTCTGTGCTGGTCCCAGGGGCTGAGGGGTACTGAGCCCACCTCCTGGACAGACACCTGCTCCCCACTATCCATGCCTGAGTTCTCACTTGGCAGTGGAGCCAAGAAGCCTTCCCTGGAGCCACTGACCTGTGTGAGCACCAAGGTGAGATTCCACCTTGGGACCCGTGATGGGGAACTGGGTCAGTCCAGTTCCACCCTCCTCCCTTCCCTGGAACCCATAGTCCAGCCAGCTTTGTAACTAAGCTGTGACCAGAAGGGCAGATGCTGTGTGTGTGTGTGTGTACATGCATACAAACCCAGGTGGAGGTTGGGAGGACTGACTTTACGACCCTGAGATATCAAAATACCTAAGACTCAAATAAAATCTACCACAGTGAGAAGGGTACTCAGCTTATCAGAAATCAGGTTCAGATAAGTCCCTGCACTTCCTTAGTCTCGGTTTTCATGTCTGCAAATTGGAAATAATTCCTAAGAGGAGAAACCTACGCAAAAGTAATCCCCAAGCTGGAAGTTGCTGCATTGATGCAACACGATGCGGTCCCACTGCTCCCCGCCCCCGCGGGAGGACTGAGGATGGGAAGAGAAAGGGCTCTGGCTCAGGAACACAAGGGCAGCCTCCACCGTTTCCTCACTGTGCCCCTTTGCTCTGCTGTTGGCCTCCTTAGCCCTTCACAGGCTCAGGCAGCAGGGGATGGGAGAGCCCCAAGTTCTCAGAGGGAGAGAGATTTGCCCTAAGTTTCTCTCCTTCCCAGGCAGTGAGGCTGAGCATACAGCCCTCTCCCAGAGCTCCATCTGGAGTCCCTCATGGTGGCCCCCCAGCAGGATTGAGCACATTTAGCTTCCCATGTATTCTCCAGCTTCTCTTTGGGTGGTACAGGGCAAGGAAGATTTTCATAACATCCCTGGGCCCACAGATTGTGGTTTGGGCATGCTGAGGTTGCGGGAGGGATCGCAGTCTCCGAAGCCTCCCCCTGAGCTAGGAACTGGCCGGTGACCACCTGCTGTGTGTCCAGCAAAGCTGATGGCACCTAGCACATGGTTATTCATCTGTTTTTGCCACTTGGCCTGGCCCCTGTCTGTGTCCCCTCCAAAGACAGCAGGACCCCTGCAGGCTGCCCCCACCAGTGATTCTGTAGAGAGGTGAAGGGGAGCCTCTCCCAGCATCCAGCTCCCTTTGCTCTGCCTCCCACAACTGGGTGGTGACTGAGAATCAGAGGCAGAGGATTTAGAGAGTGTCTCTTCCCGCTCTCCATCTGGCAGATGAAGAAACTACCTATCCAGAGATGTGAAGGGACATGTTCTAGGTCACACAGCAGGCCCGTGTCCAGGCAGGTTCCAACCTGAAGTCCCTGGGCCACTTGTGCTGCCCCAGGCACAGATAGCCTGCTTCCTCCATCTCCCTTGACCCCAAGCTTGAACTTGCAGCAAGATCCCAAGATGAGATGCTGGGGGAATTGTTCTACAGATTTGTTAATTACATCTCAGAATAAATAGGACCCTGAGCTCATCAGCCAGGACGAAATCCAATTTGGCTTTTACGGCCATACTTACTTGTCATATATCGTTGAAATTTTGTTATTTTCTATGAAGCTGGTGGTGGAGGGGCTGGGGTGCTGGACTGGCTGCTGAGCCCAGAGGTTCTTCTGCACTTGGCAGCTGTGGTCTCTAGCCTCACACACCCAGGACTTGGGACAGAGGGTGGGAGTGTTGGCCAAGGCCTGCGGTGAGGGTTTCCAGGAACCTCCTGACCCTTCAGACCAGGTCATCTGGGAGTCTGGTCAGAGTTCACAGGTTCTATAAGTGTTGCCGCTTTTATTAAGCTTTCGGTGTTTTCTTTCCAGTGATGCCAAGGCTGCTTTGTGGGCTTCAGGATCCAGAGATGATGGGTTTTGATGGCGAGGCCTGAGTTGTGCAGGGAGGGGCAGCAGGTGGGGAGAAGGGGCCAGAGAGGGTCAGTTGGTGGAATTCCTTTTGGCAGCAGGGCACTGTGGCTTAAAGGATGGGCTGTGACATTGCCTCCAGAGGCTCCAATCCAACACAGCTCTGCAAGCAGACTTGTAGGGCGGGGGTTGGATCAGACATGATATAAATAAATAAAGCACCACCGGTGTGCCAGACACACTGTAGTGCTCAGTGAACGGTCAACTCCCCACCCAGTCCCCTTGTAAGGGGCCTGGTGGATAGTAAGCCCTTGGACTTCTATTTCCTTCTACTGTCTGGCTCTACCAAGAAGAGCTGTTTGGCTGATCTGGGTTTGGTGTTTGTGTCCCCATTTAGCTGGCCCAAATGCCATCATTTCTTCCCTCCCCATGGCTGCAGGAAAAGACACTCTGAGGAGTGAGCCTTGGCTAGTGATACAACAGCCTGAGTCCCTTCTCCCAACCCCCAGGGGCACATGTAAGCCATGGGAGGTGGGGACAGGGAGGCCAAAGGACAGATCAGGTGTGGAGGGAGCCACTGGCAACAGGGGAGGATGACCAGGGCAGCAAGGGCTTTCCAAGAATGCTCCTGGACCACCTGTATCAGAATCACCTGGGGAGGTGTTTAAATACAGATTCCAGGTTGGGCACATTGGCTGAAACCTGTATTCCCAACACTTTGTAAGATCGGGGCAGAAAGATTGCCTGAGCTTGAGGTCAGCCTAGGCAACCTAGCAAAATCCATTTCTACAGAAAAGGTTTTATAAAAGCCAGCCAGGTGTGGTGGCATGCGCCTGTAGTCTCAGCTACTTGGGAGGCTGAGGTGGGAGGACCACTTGAGCCCGGGAGGTCGAGGCTGCACTGAACCGTGATAGTGTCACTGGACTCCAGCCTGGGAAACAGTGAGACCTCATCTCAAAACAGACCAAAGGAAACAAAGCCCAGCTTCCTGGGCCCCACCTCCTCCGAATCTGACCTGGTATTACCCTAGAATCTGCACTTTAACAAGTACGCCGAGTCACTCTGATTCACATTGAAGTCTGAGGATCTTTGCAGCAGAGAATAAAGGAGTCTGCTCCAGTTGACTTGTGGACCTGCCTACAGCAGGGCCAGACCTTATGATGAACTGAGAAGTTCATAATAATCACACCAGCTGCTGTAGTTCAGCAGGGGAGCAGTGTCCCCATCCCCATGACATATTTCCCTTTTGGTGTTAGGGGGTCCAGTTCTGTCCCACTGAGAACACCAAAGCGGGGACACAGAACAGGGAAAGTGATAGTGGCTGTTGTACCCGTCAATGCTGAATCCCTCTGGTGTTGGCTGGGATGTTTCTTTGGTTGATAGATGGACCTGGGGAAAGCTGGCTTGCCTGATAAATATTGAGCCATTTGGGTTTAAAAGTCAGCACCCACAATTTCCTCACCAGCTGTCTGTCAGCCCAGGGAGGCCAGTCATGTTTCATCCACTCCATCTGTGCAGCCTGACCTCTGACAAATGGGGGCTTGGACAGGCTCACCACAGGCCACAGAGTCCCACCTGACCCCCCTACCCACCCCGACCTGAGCTCCTAATAAGCCCAGGTTTTCTTTGCAGAGAATGGTCATGTGTGCCTCTCTGAATTTCCTGCTGGCAAATTGAGTAAACAAAGATGTGTTTCTTAGGGGGCTGCAGGGGTGATGGGGAGTGGGGGCTGCAGGGGTGATGGGGAGTGGGGGCTGCAGGGGTGATGGGGAGTGGGGGCTGCAGGGGTGATGGGGAGTGGGGGCTGCAGGGGTGATGGGGAGTGGGGGCTGCAGGGGTGATGGGGAGTGGGCGTAGGTGCCTATTTCAGCCACAGCTGCAAAGCTAGGCTTCCCTGGGGCTGGCGTAGGGGTCACAGGGTGATAGATTTCGGGTCTTCTTGCTGGGGAAAGAGCTCAGACAGGTGTGGAAAGTCACCCAGCCACACCCCTTCCTCTATGGATCTAGTAGGCATTTCCGGGTTGTTGCCGTTTTTGAGATTCTACGTAGAACTTGGGACTTCTTCAGAGAAGACTCTGGGAGGGCCCTAGGATCCAGCCGCTAGGATTAAGGCTCCCTGCTTCACCCCTACTTTCTCTCTGGGATGATCCATGGCCCCACTCTATTAGGCTTCTCCAGAGAAAAAGAACCAATAGGAGATTTATAGATGCCAAAGAAAGAGATTTATTAGAAGAAATTGGCTTATGTGACGATGGAGGCCAAGAAGCCCCAAGATCTGCAGGCAGCAAGCTGGAGACCCAGGAGAGCTGATGGTATAGCTGCTGCTGGAGACTGAAGGCCTGAGGACCAGGAGGGACGATGGTGTAAATCCTAGTTTGAAAGTTGGCAGGCTGAAGACACAAGAATAAAAAGTATTTCAGCTCCAGTCCAAAGGCCAGAAAAGACCAGTGTCGGCTGGGCACGGTGGCTCCCACCTGTAATCCCAGCACTTTGGGAGGCTGAGACGGGTGGTTCATGAGGTCGGCAGTTCGAGACCAGTCTGGCCAACATGGTGAAATCCCATTGTTACTAAAAATACAAAAAATTAGCTGAGCATGGTGGCATGTGCCTATAGTTCCAGCTGCTCGGGAGGCTGAGGCAGGAGAGTTGCTTGAACCTGGGAGGAAGAGGTTGAAGTGAGCCGAGATTGTGCCACTGCACTCCAGTCTCGGCAACAGAGGAAGACTCCATCTCAATAAATCCCCAAACTTATCTGGAAACTCTCTATGTAATAAATCACTTTTCTGGAAAAAAAAAAAAAAAAAAAAAGTCACAACATCAACTGGTCCTATCATACCTTTCCTCTGCCTTCATTTTCCTGGTACAAAGAAAACTTTTTTTTTTTTTTTTTGAGACGGAGTTTTGCTGTTTTACCCAGACTGGATTGCAATGGCACGATCTCGGCTCACTGCAACCTCCGCCTCCTGGGTTCAAGCAATTCTCCTGCCTTAGCCTCCCGAGTAGCTGGGACTACAGGTGCGCACCACCATGCCCAGCTAATTTTTAATTTTCAGTAGAGACGGGGTTTCACCTTGTTGACCAGGATGGTCTCGATCTTTTGACCTCGTGATCCACCTGCCTCGGCCTCCCAAAGTGCTGGGATTACAGGTGTGAGCCACCACGCGTGGCCCAAAGAAAACATTTTTAAAGCCCAACAATAAACTTGAAAAAAGTGAAGAGTAAAAAATAAAAAATGAAAAAGAGTAAAAGGTGCTAAAAGAGAAGGTGAAATGAAGAATAGAAATGGAGAGAATATAAAATTATCCAGAGAGGTATCATATATATGACCAAAAATCAAGAGGCAGAAGAAAATATATTCGTCATGATGGCTATCAGTGGTCTCGGGGTGATATCAGCCATCCCAATTAATATAATTTCTTCAATGGTATCAAATAATATCAGTGCCCTTTATGGCCCAACTTTTTTTTTTTTTTTTTTTGAGATGAAGTGTCTCTGTCGCTTGGCTGGAGTGCAGTGGCGCGATCTTGTCTCACTCCAACCTCCGCCTCCTGGGTTCAAGTGATTCTCCTGCCTCAGCCTTCCGAGTAGCTGGGACTACAGGCGCACACTACCATGCCCTGTGAATTTTTGTATTTTCAGTAGAGACAGGGTGTAGCCTTACTTGTATAATAGAACAGCCTTTAACAGGACATGGATCACAAAAGGAAGGGAACCTATATTGAGTGCTGACTATATGCAAGGCATGGTTTTAGACAGCAAAGCTGTCTTCTCATTTAATCTCTGCAATCGCTGTGTGAAACAGGCACTATTCCTGACTTAAGATTTTGACACCGAGGCTCAGAGCAATTTATTAAACAAATAACAACGTGGGTGGCCCCAGTCATTGTCCCTGTTTTTTATCCCCTGTTCAGTATCATAAGCATCTACACTTAATGAAGAAGAAAAGGCATAAAAAGAATACAACAGTACAAGAAAGAAAAATTTCAACAAAGAATAAAAGGAAAAAATAGCCATTCTCTTACCTCTCTGGATGGGCGTGGAACTTCACCAGACTGCTAGAGAGCTGTCTCTTTGCGTCTAAGTCCTCACTGAGCTGACTCTGTTCATCTACTCGTCTTTCTAGCATCAGCAGCAACTGAGAAAAGAAGAGAAAAGCACCAATACACAAATGGCACAGTGAGACATGAAGCCACAGTTAATCCTGAGAAACAAGAAAATGCATTAAGGACATACTATGACTTAAAAAGCCCGCTATCTTAGTACTCAAGCTTTTCATAGTATTGTATAGTTTTCCAATCAATGTCATATTATTTTTTGATCTTTAAAACCCTGTAAGGTGGAATTCAAACATGGGAGCAAAGAGAAGAAAAAGGAGAGAGAAGCTAGAAGCACAGGAAAGCAGCTAAGAGAAAGGAGTAAGAGGGAAACGGGACAGGCAAGAGGGAAGCATATATAATAGGAGTTACCAGTATTCTTCATTCATTCAATCAATATTTATTGAGCACCTTCTATGGGAAAGACTCCATTCCAGGTTCTAAGGGAAAGCCTACGAACTAGTGGAGGAAGAAGACATTCATTAGTCATAGACGTGTACCATTATGAGTGTAATAGCGCTATAAAGATAACGAGCTATGATCATGTATAACCAACAGAGAGCTGTTTTAGGTAGAGTTGAAAGCCAGAATGCAGTGGGGTGAGTAGTCAGTGGGAGAGATGCTAATGGAGACAGGGAGTGCAGACAAGTAAGTCTGTTGGAAAAGAAAGGTTAAACGGGGTGTAGCTACCAAGAAAGCTGGGGAAAAGGTGGGGTTTCTCTTTTTTTAAACTGGGAGAGATGTGAACATGGTTAAATGCAGATAGAGGAGAAAGATTCAGTTGAGAGAGAGACGACTTATGTATGAGTGTGAGGGGTAACTATTGTTATGCGTCTAAAAGAACTGCTGCTCTTTACAGAACCACACATCAGAAAGAGGCATCTATAGCTGCTACCGACCAAAGTAGGAAATTTCAGAGCACAGTTTCTCCATGAAATACTATTTATGAAAAACCACTACCATGGTTTAATTCACAGTAGAAAAACAAGGTTTGTGCCAGGTGTGGTGGTATGCACCTGCAGCTCCAGCTACTCTGAAAACTGAGGCAGGAAGATGCCTTGAGCCCCAGAGTTTGAGGCTGCAGCGAGCGATGGTGGTACCACTGCACTCGAGCTTGGGTGACACAGTGAGACTGCAGAAAGTGTCTATATATATTTAGACAGGAAAGGGGAGGGGAGGAGAGGGGAGGGGAGGGGAAGAGAGGGGAAGGGAGGGGAGGGGAGGGCAGGAGGGGAGGGGAAGGGAGGAGGCAGGGGAGGAGGGGAGAGGAAAAGGGGAGGGGAGAGGAGAGAGGAGAGAAGAGATGGGGGAGAGGAGAGATGGGAAAAGAGGAGAGGAGAGAGGAGAGGAGAGATGGGGAGAGGAGAGGAGAGATGGGAGGAGAGGATGGGAGGGGAGAACGGGGGGAGAGGAGAGATGGGGGAGAGGACGGGAGGGGAGAGAAGGGAGGGGAGAGGAGAGGAGAGGATGGGGGGGAGAGAGAGAGAGAAAGAAAGGGGACGGGGGAAGAGGAGAGCAGGGGAGGGAGGGAGGGAAGGGGAGAAAGTGTCTGTATTCCAATGACTTACCCGTTGTCTTTGGTTTCCTCAAATTTCTTGACCCTGGGATTCTACTGAAGCAACTTTTTCCCAAAGAAGTAATATTTTTGGGTCAGGCGTTCCACAGGTGGTATGTCTTCAGGATAATCAGTTGTATATGCAGGTCCTAGAAGTCAAAAAGTAAGTGTAAACATGAAAATAGTAATAGAAGTATTACTCAGTTGATGAGCACAGGAACAAATGTTCTTGAAACAGTCTGCCTAGACTTTCAGGTGAGATATTGGTAAGCACTGGGCAAGGGATTCAATGTGTGCAAATACTGTCAGAAGATGCCCTATAGGTAATCTGAGATGTGAACATTTCCAATGGTCTGTAAAAAGTTTGGAAGGCTATGAGGTCTTCTTTAATTTGTACTTTCTGGTCAGAGGCTCCATATCAGCAGCCTACACATGGAGCTCCCCTTCCCGCACCTGCAGCTCTTCTTACACAGCCATCATGGACTGTAGAGCACAAAGTTCCAACTGTGAATGGAGGAAACAATATCTGCCACGTTTATATTTTAACACGGAGGCAAATGCTTTTGCATATCATATCACTATCAGCCAGTAATGCAAGAGAAAATGAGACAAGAATAGGGTTCTACAGGATCAAATCAAAAAATCCATGCAGTATACTAACAAATAATATTTTATGGGAAGATGTAACAGTCGTTTTTAATGACATCTTCCACCATAACTGGCACCGTAAAACACATCAAATGTGTTTAACAAGCTTATTATGATACTGAAAAAGAATGGTGACCATTAGCAGAAGCAAGAAGAGATGAAGTTTTTATGTAAGTACTTCAGCTAATAGATGAAAAGATGATAGCATTAGGACATCTCCATTTTGCAACCCTTAATGAATTAATGGATTAGGCATCAAACCACAAAAGCTGCTAACATCACAAGAGATCACCAAACATTACCTGCCTCCAGATGGAAGAACATGCCACCACCTCTGAAGGAATCCTGCCAAAAGCTAGCGCTACATGCCCTAATCTTTCGGTGTTCTCAACAGGAAATGACAAATACTTTGTTATGACAAAGTTCACTACGACTCATCATAGGCTGGGTGCCATGGCTCACGCCTGTAATCCCAGCACTTTGGAGAGACCAGGTGGGCGGATCATGAGGTCTGGAGTTTGAGACCAGCCTGACTCAAATGGTGAAACCCCGTCTCTACTAAAGATACAAAGATTAGCCAGGCATGGTGGTGAATGCCAGTAATCCCCGCTACTCAGGAGGCTGAGGCAGGAGAATCGCTTGAACCTGGGAGGTGGGAGTTGCAGTGAGTGGAGATCATGCCACTGCACTCTAGCCTGGGTGACAGAGCAAGACTCTGTCTCAAAAAAAACAACAAAAAAAATCATGATAATAACGATACCTGCTAACATTTACTATGCCATGGGCTCTGTAACAAATGCTTTGTATAGTTAATTCTTTTAACAAACCTAGTGCTCTGGTTCCTGCCTAACTTTTCCCACTTTGATATCAGCCATTTTACTCCTCACTCATGACTCTGTAGGTACACCAGACTTTTTCTAGGAACAGAAAAAGAAAATATATATAGGAAAGGCAGAGGGGTGCGAATCTCTAAAATAATTGATGAAAAGTCTATGCTCAAGAAAGTTAAGGCATAAGGTGGGAAAAATGAATCAGGAAGTATGTGAAACCACAGAAGACTGGAGTTTGAATCAAAGCTTTGGCCTTTATTAGTTACATGACTATTCTCCATTCTCATTCTAAAGGAGAAATCAGTGTTTCAGCTTCTTCATCTATAATAATTGGGCCGACACCATTTACTTTGTGTACAGTTGTAAGCATTAGGGCTAATTTAAATACCTAGCACAGGCCGGGCGCCGTGGCTAACGCCTGTAATCCCAGCACTTTGGGAGGCCGAGGCGGGCGGATCACGAGGTCAAGAGATCGAGACCGTCCTGGCCATGGTGAAACCCCGTCTCTAAATAAAAATACAAAAATTAGCCAGGCATGGTGGCATGCGCCTGTAGTCCCAGCTACTCGGGAGGCTGAGGCGGAAGAATCGCTTGAACCCAGGTGGAGGTTGCAGTGAGCCGAGATTGCGCCACTGCACTCCAGCCTGGCGACAGAATAAGACTCCGTCTCAAAAAACCAATCAATCAATCAATACCTAGCACAGTACATTGCATATGAATACTCAGTAAACACTGACTATACGCAAGTTTCTTGTTGCATGTTTCTAAAACTAATTTCATGGGTCTAATGTCATAACTCTAAGCAGCAATCACACGATACTTCCCTATTTACACTAGCGCTTTGCTATTGTTATTATTATTTTTTTGGAGGCGGAGTTTTGCTCATTTCCTAGGTTGGAGTCTGATGTCACAATCTCAGATCACTGCAACCTCTGCCTCCCGGGTTCAAGCGATTCTCCTGCCTCAGCCTCCCGAGTAGCTGGGATTACAGGCACCCGCCAACACACCTAGCTAATTTTTGTATTTTTAGTAGAGACGAAATGTCGCCATATAGGCCAGGCTGGTCTCCAACTCCTGACCTCAAGATGAGGAGTTGATCAGCCCGCCTCAGCCTCCCAAAGTGCTAGGATTACAGGCGTGAGCCACCGTGCCCTGTCTTTACAGTTGTTTTATTCCAATTAGCAATGGGGAGTGAGAGTTGTGTTTTTCCAGCACTTAGTAAGTTTTAATAGCCCCAATATAAAAACAGGAGCATCTTGCTATAATAGTGTATATGAAAAATAACTTATATTTTTCCCCCAAAAAGAAAAAAGTCATACCTGGCATTTGGACTCAGATATTCTACTTGAAGAACTATACGCTTTTAAATATAAACTATTTTGAAGGAAAAAATAATAGGGATGTGAAAATTAAGACTTGACTAGAAAACTCACCTGACTTTCTCTTTCTTTTTTAGCCGTGAGTTCAAGTTCCTCTTTGGCATTACTCAGTTCTTTTTCCAGCCCTGCCACTGTGTTCAAGTCTCCTAAAATGAAAATAGAGTGCTAGTTTTAATTGCTATTAACATAACGTGATATCAGCTGCCTCCTCTGAGTCATTTACTGAGGACACATTCCAATAATAAGAAAAAAATAAAACATATACACAGGTTGTTCTTTGTAGCCTTATTTATAACAGCAAAATACTGCAATCATCCTGCATGCTATCAAGAAAAGACTGAATGAAATCGAGTATATTCACAGATGGAACTACATACTGCTGTGAAAAAGGAATAAGAACCATCTTTATGAACTTATATGGAACAGTTTAGAAATCTTGAGAATATGTTAAGAAAAACAAGCTACGTGCTTAAGAATACATCTAAGGTAGTAGGTTTTACATTAGGAAAAGGGGGAATAAGAATATACATATACACAGATGATTCATGTGCTGATTTTTGAAAAAAACATACAGAGGAAGAATAACCCAGAAATTAAACTGATTACCTTCAGGAGATGAATGGGAACAGGAGAGAAAAGATAGGGAAAGAGATGGGACATCTGAGTATATTATTTTATGTACTGGAGTTTTGAACTGTGTTAATGTTTAATTCTTAATATGTAAGTCAGCTTGACAATTAAAGGGAGATAAAGTTAAATCCTCATAGATATAAATGAATCTATATAGTAAATAGATCATAAGACCACCCAGAAGATAAGACAAATTAATCCAAATAATTTTTGAACTCACTAACTGAACACCGTCAGTCCAAAATACCCTAAGGATAAAAAGAATTACAAAAATACCTTCAGGATTAAAAGAGTACTAAAAAATGTAAACATCACATAATACATTTACGATAGTGGTATTCATGTAGTAATTCAGAAACTACTTTTGCATATTATAGTATTATGCAAATGTGTAAATCTTTTGAAATATATTGATGTTATAAGTAACCGGGGCTCTCAAGCAGATACAAATATGAAATAAAGGAAAAAGTACCATAATGTTAAGTTAGAATTACAGAAATCAGTATCAAATCTTCATATGTATATAAATACATACATTATACTTAAAAATATTCACTGCAGGCTCTGTTCACTTAAAGGGTCCTAGAAGCAAAAGGTATTCATGTAGCAATAAAGACATCTGATGCCCAGATCACAGTTTTTCAATGCCATTATCCACCAAAAGGAACCAGGGAGCTCTTTAGGATAATGGCTGATTCTGGGACTGAGACAGGTAAGTAAAAGGAAGTCATAGAACATCTTATTGTACCAGAAACTAGGAAAGTGCAAAAAACAAAAAAACCAACCAACCAAAAAAACTGATGGGATATGGCAAAGGATCGGAGAAACAGCTCAATGAGGTTCCCACTGACCGAATCTGGGTTAATTTGAGGAGTTAAGGAAATCATGACCAAAATCAGTAATATAATGATTTTTTAAAAAACGTATTGACAAAAACAAATGGGGTACAGAGATAGGGAAAGGACAGCTCTTCTTTATAAAATAATATCCACAAGAAATAAAGAAGAAATTTTACAAACAGAAAATCTTAATTTTTTCTTTTTTTGAGACCAAGTCTCATTCTGTCACCAAGGCTGGTGTGCAGTGGGGCACTCTTTCTGCCTCCCGGATTCAAGTGGTTCTCCTGCCACAGTCTCCTGCATAGCTGGGATTGCAGGCATGTGCCACCACGCCCGACTAATCTTTGTGTTTTTAGTAGAGACTTAGTTTCATCATATTGGCCGGGCTGGCCTCGAACTCCTGAGCTCAAGTGATCCACTCTCCTGGGCCTCCCAAACTGCTGGGATTAAAGGCATGAGCCACCGTGCCCGGTCCTGAAAAATCACTATTTTAAAGCTACCAACGTAAGAGTTGGTTCAAGCAAGGCTCAAATGATATTACAGCCAGAGTGAATGACTGTTGGAAAACAGAACTGTCAACATCTCCAATTCAGCCAGCAGATGATTTACATATAAAGGGGAAAATGAACCTTTTACAATGGGGAGATTTGACAGCTACAATCTTAACCAAATGACTAAATTTAATATCACCAAGGATGATACAAACTGATTATAATGAACTGATGTGATGCACTAAGAAAGATGTCAGCCAGGCTCACACCTGTAATCCCAGCACTTTGGGAGGCTGAGGCAGGTGGATCATTTGAGGCTAGGAGTTCCAGACCAGCCTGGACAGCACAGTGAAACCCCATCTCTAAAAAATCAAAACAAAACAAAATAAACAAACTAGCCAAGCATGGTGACACATGCCTGTAGTTCTGGCTCCACTTTGGGAGGCTGAGGTGGGAAGATCGCTTGAACCCTGGAAACAGAGGCTGTAGTGAGCTGAGATGGCACCATTGCAGTCCAGCCTGGGCAATGACAGATTCTGTTTCAAAAAAAAAAAAAAAAAAAGAGAGAAGAAAAGAAACAGGGTCGGGTGGGGAGGGAAGGGGAAATTCATCCATATGATATTCCTGCCAAAAATGTTTAACTGGAATCTAACCAAAAGAAAACAATCACGGCTAAACTGAAATATGTTCGCAGTCCTGAATTCTTCAAAAATGCCAGTCTCGCTAAAAAGAAATAAAAGGTAAAAAATTGTTCTAGATTAGAGACTAAGAGACATGACAACTAAGCACAATGCGTAACCCCTGGGTTGGGGGGAACCAAGGTAGCTATACGTAACATTATTGGGACAATAGGAACTCTGAATGTGGACTGCGTCTTAGATACTAAGCCTCTCTCAAGGTTAAATTTTCTGAGTATGATAATTACATTGTGGCTATGTAGGAGAATGCCCTTGTTCTTAGGAAATACTGATGTATGCAGCATAAAGTGTCATGACTTCTGTAAGAAAGTCTGCAATGGTTCAGAAAATACATTACATCCACATATGTGTGTGTACATACAAAGAAATAAGGCAAATGTGGCAGCATGTTTATAACTGGTCTGAACAAAAATGTATGTGAGTATTCACTATACTATTCTTGCCCCTTTTCTATAGGTTTGAAATTTCCAAAATACAAAATTTAGAGAAAAGTACACTTTTTTAAAAAGGCAAATAAAGAATAAAACAAATCCAACAATATTTTTCTCTTTGATTAGTACAGTTTTCAAAATAGAGAATGACTACACTTAAGACTTTTCTAAACCATCCCCTAAATGGGGCTAGGCCTGGCAAGTAACTCAATGTACACTGCCTACCCTTCCTAACAGAGTTCAATGCAGGTGATGTCAAGTTACAGCGAGTGGCCCCAGACTTGAAAGATACCCAGGAAAAGCTGTCAGCACATGGCCCTGCTGTGCAGGATTGGAACCACTACCTCCTGCATTTCTGCATCCCTGCAAAACTATCTGAAAAGGAGAATAAGGACAGACTTTCTCTGGGCCAAATTGTGATCCCAAAGCAATAACCTCAATGCAACATAAGGGAAGGACAGTTCTTCAACTTTTCAGAGGAAATCCAAACTTATTTTTTCCATTAAGGTAGGAAGAGAAAAGAGTCTCAGCCAAACCTATTAATACAAGGAATAATAGAAAACGAAGTCCCTGAATGAAATGAAATTTCATACTCACCTAATGTGGATCTGGGTATGCTGGCATCTTCTTTGGCAGTCAATAAAGGACTATCATCTCTGGAAGGTATCTGCACTGGACCCTAAAAATCTGGGGGACTTAGGAAGATGCAGGAACGATGATCACAATGACAGCACTGAAAATATTCTCACAATTTGGTATTAAAATTATCAAACTTACACCTCAAATGTAAAAAGGAAACACATTCTGCATGAATTATCTAAGTCTATAGTTCTTACTTGATCAGTCTGTTCTCCAAGAGGGGGGCCAATGAAGGGAATTTCAGCTCGTTGGTTAGAGATGGGTGCTTGGAACATCATGGAGTCTCTCCCTTCCAAATACTGGCACAGGGCCTGTAATTCTGAATTTCTTTCCGTCAAGGTTTGTGCCATCTTCTCTGCAGCAAGCTAGTAAGAGGAAATCACAAATAACATCAGAAAGATATTCTAGTAAAACAAAAATTTTCTTCTGGTATTATTTCTTCAGAGTCAACCATTTGTAAACAACAAGCAAAGAAACAAACAAAACAGTGGGTTCTTAGGAAATCGTTTCCCTGCTTTCAGTTGACAGGAAAAAAACGCAGTTAAAGTGAATGGAAAGAAAGTCTCACAGACAGAACACTGGAGAAAAAACTGAATTTAACACATTTGTAACAGATAAGAGAAAGAGAATCTGAAATAGGTTCTGCTAGAACTATCAGGTTAAGGTGTTAAGATTCTGGAATTAAGATAACAGTTGTCCTTCTTCTTGGTCAGCTGTTTCTTAGGACTGGAGTGCTCTTCAAACATTTCTGTGGTTTGCTCCCTTCAGGTCTCAGCCAAATGACACCTTATCAGGTTGGCCTTCCCTGCACATCCTATCCAAAACAGCAATCTCACTGGCCAAAGGGTACAAGCTTTCAGGTACAAGATGAGTATGTTTTGGGAATCCAATGTATAGCTTGGTGACTTTAGGTAATAATACTGCATTATTTACTTGAGTTAGTCATTCTATGTTATTTACTTGAAATTTGCTAAGACAGTGGCTCTTTAGTGTCTTCGCCACACATGTATAAAATGTGTAGTGACAGATGTGTTAATTTGATGGTGGTAATCATTTCACAATGTATACATATATCAAAACATCATGTTGCACACCTTGAATATAGACAGTATTTTCAATTATACCTCAATACAGCTGGGGAAAAAAACTTTAAAGAACCCAGCAATCTCTTCTCTATCCCCAATATCCCTTACTGTGCTAACTTTTTTTTAATGCACTTACCATTATCTGATATACAGCTCTCTCTGCTTCCCCTACATGGAATGCAAGTTTCCTAAAGGCAACCTCGAGCTGAATCTCAAGCACCCGGTACGGTGTCTGGCACATGACAGGCACTCACTACATATTTACTGAAAGAATCAATTACACACATACACCTTTTTATCAGACCACATGATCAGGGGAATCTCAATCTCAAAATCACCAAACTCAGTTTCATTTCAAATCCCAGTTTTCTAAGACAGATGATCACACAATAAGGGAAACAGCTAGAACTTCCATAACTATTAATGCACAGCAAGTCTGCAGTTAAACAGAAAATCTGGAAATAATAAATTGATATTAAAATTACTGAGGGTATAAGATGACGAACCGTAACGCCAACTGTCTCTGAGGAAAAGTACTATTGTTTTAAGTGAGAAGCTGAGCTCTTGTCACGATTTCTAAGGGAAATACGAGGAGAAAACCTCCATTTTTGGGTGGGTAAAACTTGAGCTCTTGGGAGATTTCCATGCAACCATTTTAGAGGTAACAGTATATTATAAAAGTACCTTAATAAAAGTATCTGTGAAAACTGTGGGGAAAAAACATAAATAACATACAAGATATATGCTGTGCCCCATCTGCCTTGGCACTCTTTTTCTAGTAGTAGTTGAGAGTTGTTGGCAGGGCTCCTCCAATGCAGCCCCATGAGCCAGCAGCATCACTATCACTTGTTAGAAATGCAAATTCTCAAGTCCCACCTATACCTCCTAATTTCTATCTCTGAAGTTGAGCTCCACAATCTACGTATTTAAAAAGTTATTCAGGTGATTTCTTTTGCATGTCAAATTAAGAGAGCAGATCTAGAAGAATACAACCATTAATCTTCTTGAGTTGAAAAATTTCCTGTAAGTTCCATCATCTTTATTATTCTATTACACAGAGGGCATAATTTTTTTCTGAGGTATAATAAAGACTGATTCTTCCAAATCACCAACAGGTTACAAAGAAAACTCACAGATGCTAGCCTCTTGCCAGACTTAGATAATTGAGAATAATTTTCTTAGGCCTATTTCAGAAACAATTTCTGAAGCACACAGCAGGACTTTTCTAACAAGAAGCGGATTTACTTCAGTGGGGCTAACCTTCAGAGCAGTGGAGGATAATCCCCTTACAATAGAAGGCAACATAAAAAACTATTATGGTCAAATAACATAGGCGAGAAAGAGTCTTTCTTCCTCTAAAAAGTGACTAGGGGGATTCTGAGCTCCTGGTCTTTGAAACGCAGCACAAGTCAACTAAGAGATTTTAGATTTGAGGAGAAAAAACACAGAAATGAGGAAAAGTTAAGAATTTACTCCTGGCCAGGGCATGGTGGCTCACGCCTGTAATCTCAGCACTCTGGGAGACTGAGGTGGATGGATCACTTGAGGCCAGGAATTGGAAACCAGCATGGCCAAATGGTGAAACCTCATCTCTACTAACAACACAAAAATGAGCTGGGCATGGTGGTGCATACCTGCAATCACAGCTACCTGGGAGGATGAGGCAGGAGAATTGCTTGAACCCAGGAGGCAGAGGTTGCAGTGACCTGAGATCACGGCACTGCACTCCAGCCGGGGTGAGAGGGAGATACCACCTCAAAAACAAAAAAATTTACTTCTGAACTACTATGAAAGTAGCATACCCCAAACCGTAATGAGATTATTCATGCTCTCATCGTGACCTTTGAAGAATGCAATCATTTTTTCCTCTTAAGATAACTCAGATTTTTTAACAAAAACTAAGAGTAAACAGGTTGAGTGTAAGTTTTCCCATACCTTTGCTGAAAATGCAAAGTTATCACTCCAGTCTTAATAATTTATAATCAAGCTGGGCACGGTGGCTCAAGCCTGTAATCCCAGCACTTTGGGAGGCCGAGGCGGATGGATCACGAGGTCAAGAGATTGAGACCATCCTGGTCAACATGGTGAAACCCCATCTCTACTAAAAATACAAAAAAATTAGCTGGGCATGGTGGTGCGTGCCTGTAATCCCAGCTACTCAGGAGGCTGAGGCAGGAGAATTGGCTGAACCCAGGAGGCAGAGGTTGTGGTGAGTCGAGATCGCGCCATTGCACTCCAGCCTGGGTAACAAGAGCGAAACTCCGTCTCAAAAAAAAAAAAAAAGATTAGAATCAAAACACTCCACAACCCCTACTCCTTTCTCTCAAAACGATCAGATTATTAAGGAAAAGAAAACACATGTAATGAAGCTAACTGATACACGTATTGTTTAGGCACCCTTCCAAATGTAAAATTTTCAAAAAATTTTTCATACTTTGATGATCAATATAAAACTGTGGTCTAAGGCCAGGCACAGTGGCTCACACCTACAATTCCGGCACTTTGGGAAGCTAAGGCAGGATGACTGCTTGAGCCCAGGTCTTCAAGATCAGGCTGCACAAAGAGAGAACCCCCATCTCTAAATAAATAAAACTGTGGTCTAGGAAATAAATGGAGGGAAAGAAACGAACAGAGTTAACAGTCAAATATATAAACATACACATATCCATAGTCTGCAAATGCTTCCTATTTGTAGACTATAAATGCACCGTGTGATACTTTTCTGCTAAGTCCTTACTTGGCTTTCCTGCTTCCTGAAGTTCACAGACTGAAGCAGGCCTTTAATCTCCATTTCGTGTTCCACCACTTGTTTGTGTCAATCACACAGAAGGTCCTGCAGCATCCTTTCCTTTCGCTGTAGACGCTGGCACAGCTCCTCCGCTACCTCACTCCACCCTGGTCCAAGTCTGCAGAGCAATGGTGCACTAAGATCCTAATACAGAAGGGACACTGTAAGTTTCTGGGGGAAAGAACTGCCTCTAGTAAACAGCAAAGGACTTAAAAGACTATCACAGAAGAAGGAACCCTGAGATTCTTGAAACTAAGTATCGTGTTTTATTTATTTTTGTTTTACCAGGACCGGAACAACAGAAGTCTCTAAATACAGGTCCCAGGAATGAATACTAACAATAGAGAAAACTATCTCTAGTGGCCACTTATGTAACTATTGCTTTCTGAAATAAGTCTTTATCTTATTTGTTCAGGGAATGTAACAATTAATGTTAGACGAGGATAAATGGACACTCAGTTCACTTACTTATTTTCTCCACAGTGTAACCTTAGAGAGGGAAGCACAAAACGATAAGCGGAAAGGAATACTAAACACTGTATTTGCTATCATAGTGATGCTTTCAATTTCTGTACTCCCCAAAGGTACATGGTGAAGGAAACGGAGGAGCCATACTGCCTAGCTTACTGGATCTGCTACTTATTAGCTATGTTAGCTTGGACAGGGTACTTAGCTTCAGAAGTCTGTCTCCTCCTCTATAAAACAGGGATAATAGTATGTGCCTCATGGACCCTGGCAATGCTTCAGTAAAAGTAAGAGACAGCCAGAGAGAAGGAGAGAGAAATCTGTATTTACATATGAACAAGAATTGGAAATAAATCAGAAGTATGTGAACAGAAACCAATATTCACTGGCTCGCCTCACAAAGTTCATATTACAAAAGAAAGTAGAAATGCTAAAGTCTCTCACTTTCTAAACTACAAACATGGAACTAATGACTGCTATTTTTGGTTTTCTCCTCTATACAAAGCAGAATCCCCGGTTTTCAGAAAATAATGGAATGGGTCCTGCCTCAGGCTTAGAATACAAGCGGGAGAGGAACACGAAGTCAGAGATAGGTTTTGCTCTTACCTGCACAGTAAGAGCGGTGTCCCAGGCGCTAACGGCCTCAGCGGCAGTCGGAGGCATCTACGGTGCGTGGAAGGCTTCCGCACCCCGAGGCGCGACAGCGGCGTCCCAGGCACGGATGGCACCCGCAGCGCGGTCGGCGCATCTGGAGTGTTGGCAGCGCGGTAGGCGGCGTCCCAGGCGCTGACAGCGTCAGTAACATCTGAGGCGCGGTCTGCGCGTCCGCGCCGTCAGCGGGGCAACTGCGGTGTCCCATGCGCTAACGGCGTCTACGGGGTCGACATGGGCAGCGTCTACGGGGTCTGCGGCTCGACTGCGGCGTCCGGAACACTTTGGCGGCGTCCTAGGCGCGGATGGCATAGGCGGCGCAGTCGGCGCCTCGGGAGTCTCGGCGGCACGGTAGGCTCTTCGGGGACGGCCGGCGCGGTTAGCGAGTTGGCGGCGTCCCAGGCGCTCAAAGTGTCAGTCCCTGCCGCTGCGCAATCTGCCCGTCGGCTGCGTCCAGAGGGTCTGTGGCGTAGGCAGCGTGGTCGGTGCGTCAGTGACGTCACTGGCGCCAAGGCGGCGTCTACGGTGCGTTGGAAGCGTCCCAGGAGTGGATGGCATCGGCGGCGCGGTCGGTCCGTCGGGAACGTAGGCGGTGTAGTTAGCTGGTCGGGGGGCATCCACGGCTAGGTCAGCGGTTCGGCAGCTTCCCAGCCGCTCACAGGGTCAGTGCCGTCGGCGGCGCGATCCGCGCGTCGGCCGGGTCAGCGGCGTCCTGGGGGGGGGCGGTCTATGGCGTCAGCGTGGTCGGCGCGTCAGTGACGTCAGCGGCAAGACGGCGGCGTCTACGGTGCGTCGGACGCGTCACAGGCGCGGATGGCATCGGGAATGTTGGCGGTGCGGTAAGCTGGTCGGGGGCATCCACGGAGCGGTCAGTGGTTCGGCGGCTTTTCAGCAGCTCACAGGGTCAGCAGTGCCGTCGGGGGCGCCAGCGGCGTTCGTGGCGCGGTTCTCGCGGCTTTGTTCGGGGGGTCTATGGCGTCAGCGTGGTCGGCGCGTCAGTGACGTCAGCAGCGAGACGGCGGCGTCTACGGTGCGTCGGAGGCGTCCCAGGCGCGGATGGCGTCGGCGGCGCCGTCGGCGCGTCAGTAATGTTGGCATTTTGGTAAGCTGGTCGGGGGCATCCACGGCGGGGTCAGCGGTTCGGCGGCTTCCCAGCCTCTCACACGTCAGTGGCGTCGGCGGCGCCCTAGGCTGGTCAGGGACATTCGTGGCGGGATCATCGGTTCGGCGGCGGCGAATGTTCTTTGCGCTGGGGTGCAGTGGCTCATGCGTGTGGTCCCAGCACTTTGGGAGGCCAAGGCAGGCAGATCACCTGACGTAGCGAGTTCGAGACCAACCTGACCCACATGGAGAAACCCCATAATTACTAAAAATACAAAATTACTCAGACGTAGTGGTACGCACCTGTAATCCCAGCTACTCTGGAGGATGAGGCAGAAGAATCACTTGAACCTGGGAGGCTGGGGTTGTGGGAAGCCGATATCGCACCAAGGCAGCCCAAAGAAGATTTTACACTGTGTATTTCTTTTTCTATAAACTCTCTTCATATGTTTTGCCGACTTTGCCTGTGGGTTTTTTTTTTTTTTTTTTGCTTATTTATGGTGGCTCTTTTTTATTTGGGAAATTGGTCATTTATAAGTAGGGAAATCTCTTCTCCCACATTGAATTCTTAGTGTTCATATTTTGTTGCCATATGAAAGCTCTTTATTGATACTCCAGGCTGAGCAACAACACTGGAACTCCATCTCAAAAAAAAATTTTTTTTTAATACTAAAACTTCATAATGAAAGAAATTCAGATCAGCTCAGCACGGTGGCTCATGCCTGTAATCCCAACACTTTGGGAGGCTGAGCAGGTGGATCACCAGCCAACAAGGCGAGACTCCATCTCAAAAAATAAAAAAAAAAAGAAATTAAAATAAAAACTAATGACGTTAGTGCATTTTCACCTATTAGATTGGCAAAGATTAAGGAGTTGGGTAATATACTGCATTGTCATGGGCATGAGAAACGAGGTACTCTTGCACAGTATAAATGATGACAATTTTTTTTTTTTTTTTTTTTTTTTTGAGACGGAGTTTCGCTCTTGTTACCCAGGCTGGAGTGCAATGGCGCGATCTCGGCTCACCGCAACCTCCGCCTCTTGGGATCAGGCAATTCTCCTGTCTCAGCCTCCTGAGTAGCTGGGATTACAGGCGCGCACCACCATGCCCAGATAAGTTTTTGTATTTTTAGTAGAGACGGGGTTTCACCATGTTGACCAGGATGGTCTCAATCTCTTGACCTCGTGATCCACCTGCCTCGGCCTCCCAAAGTGCTGGGATTACAGGCTTGAGCCACCGCGCCCAGCCTTGTTTTTTTTTTTTTTTTTTAAGACAGAGTCTAGCTCTGTCACTCAGGCTGGAGTGCTATGTTGCCATCTTGGCTCGCTGCAACCTCTGCCTCGCAGGTTGAAGGGATTCTCCTGCCTCAGCCTCCTGAGTAGCTGGGTTACAGGCGTACACTATCATGCCTGGCTAGTTTTTTGCATTTTTAGTAGACACAGGGTTTCTCCATGTTGGCCAGGCTGGTCTCGAACTCCTGACCTCAAATGATCCACCCACCCTGGCTTCCCAAAGTGCCAACATTACAGGCCTGGGCCACCACGCCCAGCCCTATTGGACTTTTTTTGAACAAAAACAACAAGGTGCAGAAGAGAATATGTGGTACTGTCACAGCGTGTGTGTAAGTGTGTACCTTAGAACACCTCTGGAAGAATGTGTAAGACATTAGAAATAGCAGTTGCCTCTGGGTAGAGGAAACAAGTGATAGGGATGGGAATGAGGAAGGCCTATTTTTCTTTTTTCTTTTTTTTTGAGACAGAGTCTTGCTTTGTCACCCAGGCTGGAGTGCAGTGGCGCCCTCTTGGCAACCTCCACCTCCTGGGTTCAAGCGATTCTCCTGCTGCAGCCTTCTAAGTAACTAGGACTACAGGTGCTAGGTGCCTGCTACCACACCTGGCTAATTTTTGTATTTATAGGAGAGACTGGGTTGTTTTGCCATGTTGGCCAGGCTGGTCTCTTGAACTCCTGACCTCAAGTGATCTTCCCACCTTGCCACCCCACCTTGCTAATTTTTGTGTTTTTAGTAGAGACAGGGTTTCGCTGTGTTGGCCACGCTGATCTTGAACTCCTGATGGCAAGTGATCTGCCCGTTTTGGCCTCCCATAGTGCTGGGATTACAGGTGTGAGCCACTGCACTCATCCTAGAGGGGCTTCTTTTTCTTTTTTTTTTATTGAGACGGAGTTTCGCTCTTGTTACCCAGGCTGGAGTGCAATGGCGCGATCTCGGCTCACTGCAACCTCCGCCTCCTGGGTTCAAGCAATTCTTCTGCCTCAGCCTCCTGAGTAGCTGGGACTACAGGCGTGTGCCACCATGCCCAGCTAATTTTTGTATTTTTAGTAGAGACGGGGTTTTACCATGTTGACCAGTATGGTCTCGATCTCTTGACTTCGTGATCCACCCGCCTCGACCTCCCAAAGTGCTGGGCGTGAGCCACCATGCCCGGCCATTAACATCTCATCATTGCTCTCCAGGGGTAAGGAAGGATGGACATGGTTGTATCCAGCTCTATGTGATATTATTATAAAATTATTTAGTGTCTTATAAAATTATAGAATTTTTAGTGTTGTGCTATCCTATATGGTAGCCAGCAGTCACATGTAACTACTTAAATTTAAATTAATTACAATTAAATAAAATCAAAATTCCATTCCTCAGTGCTTGCTTAGTGAGCACATATACAAAATTCAGTTCCCTAGTCACACTAACCACTTTTCAAGTGCTTGGTAACCACGTGAGGCTAGTGGCTCCCATATAGTGGCAGGCATAGAACCTTTCCATCACTGCAGAAAGTTCTACTCGACAGTGGTGCTTTACAGCTTCTCCCCAGAATAACATTCATAGGCACACAGACCCCAAATTCATACCACTTCAACGTGTTTACACCTTGGTCTGAAAGCCCTTTATAATGCAGGCAATAGAGAAATGAGGGGTGTTGCTAACTAAAACTAAAATCAAAGATAGGAGTTTTGTTATGAGCCGGAGTCCAAACCTGTGAACATTTTAGCTTAGAAAAACTTTTTGGCTGAGTTGGCTGCAGCTGAATAATGAGTCACTTGTTCATTTCAGCAGGGATGGGTTCAGTTTCCTGTGCCTCCTGGGTTCCTCTGTGGTTGTCTGGGCCTAGTGGCCACATGCTGACGTGTGCTCACTTTAGACAGGGAGAGGGCCTCGCCACTTCCCTGACATTTTAGTGAAACTAGATCACTTCTCTTACAATTTACTTGCAGTCTCTCTAAGTAAGGATGTTACTTGGCTTTCACCTTCGGTAGGCTATATTCATGTGAGTATCATTTAGTGGGTTCCTTCTATGTCCCAGGAACCAGGCTATGTGCCACAGACATGAAGAGGATTAAGACAAGATGTTCATAATCTCGCAGAGGAGACCAGCATGAAACCAGCTAGTCATATCCCAGGCAGAGGGAAGTAAGTGCTGTAACAGGCAAGGTACTGGGAAATTCAGGGAACGGAGAGACTAAAATTCAATTGAGGGGACTAGGGAAGGCTCAGTGAAGGTGATGGCATTTGAACACAGCCTTAAAGAATATGTTAGACCAGAACAGCATGGAACATATAATTGGGCATTCTTCCACATTCAAGTGCTTGCTTTTACATCAGGGGTACACGTGAAGATGTGTTATATAAACTCATGTCATTGGGTTTATTGTACAGATTAGGGTTTCATCACCCAGGTATTAAATGCAGCATTCGATAGTTATATTTTTTGCTCCTCTTTCTCTTTCCACCCTTCACCCTCACGTAGACGCCAATGTCTTTTCTTCCCTCCTTTGTGTTCGTGTGTTCTTATCATTTGGTTTCCACTTATAAGTGGGAACATGCAATATTTGCTTTTTGTTCCTGCTTTAGTTTGCTGAGGATAATGGCCTCCAGCTCCATCCATGTTTCTGCAAAAGACATGATCTTGTTCTTCGTTTATGGCTGCATGCATTTAAGTTATTGAAGTCTGAAATTCTTCCACTGTACGGGCTGTGACAGCTCTTATTTTTTCTTTCACATGGAATCTGCTGTGTCTTCCTAGAGACAGTCTCCCAACCCATCCTCGCCTCATGGTCCTTCATGCACTTCTAGATGAGACTCTATGATCTAGATGAGATTCTATGATCACAGTTTTCTTTCTTTTTTGAGACCGAGTTCGTGCTTGTTACCCAGGCTGGAGTGCAATGGCGCTATCTCGGCTCACCGCAACCTCCGCCTCCTGGGTTCAGACAATTCTCCTGCCTCAGCCTCCTGAGTAGCTGGGATTACAGGCACGTGCCACCATGCCCAGCTGATTTTCTGTATTTTTAGTTGAGACCGGGTTTCACCATGTTGACCAGGATGGTCTCGATCTCTTGACCTTGTGATCCACCTGCCTCGGCTTCCCAAAGTGCTGGGATTACAGGCATGAGCCACCGCACCTGGCCCTGATCACAGTTTTCAAGCAGATGTTTTCCAGCACGTCTTTGTCCTCTGGCTTCTGTTTTTATCTATTTGGCTAATCCCCAATTTTGCTTTGCTAAAATTAATGTTATTTATCCAGTATGAGGTCAGGTCTCTCAACAACTCCCCAGTCTAACTCAACATTTCTTTGTGTCTTCCCCAATTCTCTCCCCCAACCCAATCCTCTACAGAGGGGGCATTCCTTTCTATGAGTAACTCTTTGTCCCATGTTTTCTATTCTTTCAGGACCCAGTGGTTTGCCTTTTTCTCCTCTCTTGTATCCAGTCTTCATTGCCTGTTAATGGTTCTCTCCTTTGAGGCAGATTCAGGGTTTGCAGGGCCTAAGGCTTATTTAATCTTGGGAGTCTTGTCAAAAAAAAAAATACAAAAATACAAAATTACAAATATCAAATTGGGGGGGAGATAATACTTACTTAGAAGGGGCCTGTGTAAGTGTGAGGGGCCCTGAAACTTATTTCACAGTGAGTTCACCTCTGTCTGTGCTATAATAAAAACCAAACCAAACACAAAAACCTCCCTTTGCTTTGCTATTGCAAACCAT